GTTGATGGCTTGACTGTAAACAACATGACAAGCAATGCAATAAATAGTTTGAAGAAAAATCTGCTTTGTCATTGAACCTGAGAATAACCATAATGACGCAGTCTCCATGCTACAATAATAATGATAGAAGCAAAGTTTTTCATTGTGGGGACATATCTTTATAAGTACAATTTGACTGTATTATTTGTGTCCCCTTCAAAAATTGCTCATGAGAAATTTTATATTTATTGTCCCCCCCTACTGTTAAATGAAATTTACGCCCATGGTCACACCCTGCTTGTCCGATCCTCCTGTCCATAAAATTATAGTACTTCATTAACACAAATTATTATGTAACTCCTATTTAACTGTTATATTGTAAATTCACACATAGTGGCAACTGCGTATTGTATGTTTACAGTACAAACAAAGAAGTTCATCGCCATACAACGCGTGGGATCACGAAATGTACATAAAAATTTTAGGCATATTAGAATAATGTACAGTATAATAAAAAAAATAACATTTTCGAAATTACTGTATTGTTTTTGACTGTTACTCAGTCTCTCAATGTTAATTGTACATAGTTTTAAAGTAAATAGTTATTTTGGGGGGATGTTTTGTGGTTCTTTTCCGTGTTTTGGCGTCTTTTGACCAGCCCGCCAACTGTCACGCCCGGCTCGTCCGATCCTCTCGCGTGCCACGCCCCCCTCGTTAACCTCGGGTGAAATCCCGATGTCATCAGCTGTTTCCTGTTATTTCCAATTAGTCCTGTGTGTTTCAGTCCGCGTTCGAGTATGTTTCCCCAGTCTTGTCATTGAAGTCTCATGGTGTTGTGCTGTCTGTTTGTGCCTGCTTGATGTCCCTGCTCCCTGTCTCCATTAAATCCCGTATTCCCCAGTCCTACGCGTCCCTCTCCTGCTTCCCTGTTCCGTGCACCGCGCCTTCCGTTAACATATTATTTGAATTAATTATTTGCACAGTGGTACCTCTGTATACGTCCGCTTTGGAATAAGTACAACTTGGTATACGTCCTGTTTGGACGCGAAAATGTTTGCTTGGTGTACGACCTTTCTTTGGAATACGACTCGCGTGCTAGAACTTGTATGGGTCAAAATGAGTTACGACACCGCGCGTTACCCTTGTTTACCTCTCTCGAGACAAAGCCACGACTACTTGTAAATTGTAATACCTCTTTCATTTTTAAGCCAATCAACATCAAACCAAGTTCAATGAGTTCCTCTGGCCCTCCCTCATCTTTCACACTCTTTCAGGAAATTTTCACACCCATCTGATTTCCAGAACACCAGCCCTATGTGTCCTATAGCCGTGTATCATTATTGCAGTTGGATAAATTGTAATAATTTTTTAATTGGCTTAAAAATGAAAGAGGTATTACAATTTACAAGTGGTGTTATGCTGATTGGCATTGCACTTTCAAGACGGTCCCTAAATTTTCCGGCAGTTTTGTGCGAACAGAACGATATTCCCATTTTGCTTTGTATTCTTAATTCATATTGCTGGAGAATGTTGAGCTAACTTAAAGTGTGAAATATTGCCCTCGTTTAACTTCACATGTGGAGCCTAATCTGAAAAGAATTGCCGTCATGACCCCGAAGATATTGCAGTTTAGATGTTAGTAAATGTGGTGAATATCGAACATAAAACCAACTTCACCGCGGTATCAAACCGCAATATACCAATAACAATAGGATTTTTTTTCATGGGAACGGATTAATCATTTTCCCTTTATTTAATATGGGAAAAAATTGTTTGGTAATTACGTCCTGTTTGGTATAAGTCTAAGGATCTGGAACGGATTAAGGACGTATACCGAGCTCCACTGTATTTACATTATTTTAAATGGGAAAAATTGATTCAGGTCGCGAACTTTTCAGGTCACGATCGTGAGTCCTCGAACTAATTTCGTGAGCCGAGGTACCACCGTACTTCTGTAGCCTGGACCACAGTCAAGATGCCAATCATGATGGCTTCGTGACTGAGTTTTTGTTTTCTACGTGTGTATGTCTTTACAAAGGACAACAAAACACAATGTTCTTGTACATATGTCATACAAATCTTCACTTCAGACAGAAACTGTAAGAAGTCTTGCCATTTGTGACGCAGGTTTAGCAACCAAAATTCCTCTTTCAAAAAAAATTTTAAATTACCCCCACGTTCTCCATTTGGTCCCCACAATGTCATATAAAGATAATCCCCACATTTTGGCCAAACAGCAAAGTGATACCGTGTTTCGCATTTTTCAATCACCTTCCTCCAAGGGCTATTGCAGATTAAGCCAACAGAACCAAAAACCTCTATCCTCCACCTATTTTTATATATATTCTCATTTGAATGTTAAGAACAGAACATGCTTGTTCCATAAAAGAATTGATTAACCTCTCAAACTGTAACCCCCATTTCCATGATCACAGCTGCATTCTCTCCATTACAATATGACCCTGTTAAGAGGTACCTTTAATTATTGCCACTCGCCTGTTCCCCACACATGACTAGCACACATCTTGAAGATGTCTCAGTTCTGCTTCAAGCTAGATAACAGTTTGCTTAGCTAATAGTTTTATAGATTACAAGCTGCAAGTTTATCACTTCCTGCTAAATGTTTTATCATCGACATGTACTGGAAATTTCTCACCTGCCTATTGCTGTCTGCTAGCTGCTACTTTTATATATTTGGTGAGAGTGGTCAAGTTAACTGTTTCAAATGTGGTTACCTGCTAGAATCCAAATAGCCTGCCAAAATGCTATAGGCTAAGCCAGAGGGAGGCAGTCCTGATCCTGGAGTGCCGGTATTCTGATGAATGCCTATCTGCCTGAGATCAGGAGTGGTTCGTTGGAGAACAGGGATGATAGAAAACCTGCTGGGTACCAGCACTCCAGGATCAGGGTTTCCTACCACTGGGTAAGGAAAGTTGTACTTGCTAACACATTTTTCTAGTTTATCCTAGTAAAGCCTTACCTTTAAGATGCTTGAGTAGCCAACCTGTGAATGAGGTCAGAGGTGTGAAAAAATATGTGTGATATTCTTTGGAATATCCTAGAGAATGCAAATGTTAATAAGTAGAAAAAACACAGATATGCTAATATGCATAAAATTAAAAAGGTAATGCATCTAATACAATATTTAATTCCTATATTTGCACTTTTTGCCTATCTATTTTACCAAAAGTTATGGTTTGCAATCACAATCATGATCTTTAAATGGAATTGTTGAAATTACATGAAATTATCACCCCCACATTACTTAATCCTACCCAAGGTCATCTATTGCCAGTTTATAATACATATTAATATTGTTGCTGTTTTATGAATTTAAAACATTTACCTCTCTAACATGTGAACCAGGCATAAATGTATCCAGTGGTGGATGCAAGGTTTTCTGTAAGTTAGTAACCCAGGAGTCGCAGAATGTATTCCTCTGCATTCAAAGGTCTTATATATACTCTTCCTCCCCTCTAACATCTGCACAGGAAAGCGAAAGCTACAGATTTGTCCAATAGGGCTGCAGCACCACTTATCTGCATACTTTCCAGACCAGTCCATCCTCTTTTCTTTTAAAAATACAATGGTAACTCGACTCACGAACAGTCCTGTTCATGAACAAATCGGGTTATGAACCAGATGTTAGAAAATTTTCAGGGTGCGAACACAAACATCCCACAAAAACGCCCCAAAGAACCACCCGAAACACGAAGAAGTGTACATTATGCCCAAGAACGGTTGTGGAATGTATAAAAAAACTTGTTGTAGATGTATGTCTTTACTATCTCTTCAGAGGTCAAATATCTGAAAAAAGAAAAAAATAGAGCAAGACTGAACGTTCTGTTATAGCGGTACCTTTCAGTGATTGATAAACATGTTTGTGATGGTTTTTAACAGTCACATATCTATACATAAAATAACAGTACTTCATTAATAACATAAATTATTAAGTAACTCCTATTTAACCTTCGTCCTGCGTTAGTTTTCTGTTCCTATCTCTTATGTTATATGGGTCGGAGCCGACCCGTGTCTTAAATCAGCCATAAAATACCCTCAAAACAATTATTTATCATTCAATTTGTTTCTTACCTCTTGGTTACCTTGATAGGCTTCCTTTTCCATGAAAATATTGGTTTTAATATTTTTGGCGTGACTTTCTGGACCTTTCTTTTGACAGCATACCTCTCGTTTTCAATAAAAAAATAATGGTAAAATAAACCTCAAGAGAATTATATAAATAAACTGAACTGGTCTTATCTTGCCTTACATGTATGGGCATGCCTTGTATTTGCCATGCCTTTGTTTTAAGTTATTTTGTTTAAATAGAGATTCCTGACAAAGTCAAAAAGCCTTGATGCAGTACTCAAATCTATGTGGTGCTTTTATGCATTTTAAACTTAATAAGGGGTCAGTGTCGGCCCCAACACCAGAGCTATTATAATCTTGACCAAAGCATTTATAATTTAGTGATTTTTTAAATTTTTTTTGTTTAAATAGAGGTTCATGACAAAGTCAAAAAGCCTTGATGCAGTACACAAATTTATGTGGTGCTTTTATGCATTTTAAACTTACAAACGGGTCGGTGCCGACCCTAACACCAGAGTGGAGAATTGTCACACCCTGCTTGTCTGATCCTCCTGTGGGCCACGCCCCCTCATTAACCTCGTGTGAAATTCCGATTGTTACCAGCTGTTTCCTGTTTTTTCCATTGAGTCCTGTGTATTTCAGTCCGCGTTCGAGTATGTTTCCCTAGGTCTGTCATTGAAGTCTATTGTGTGAGTTTGACGTATGATGGTGAAGTCGTTTCTTGTTTTACCCTGTATGCCCCTCCGTTCACCCATTAAATCCCTATTTCCCCGACCCGACATCTCCGACTCCTACTTCCCCAGTCCGAGCTCGCCAGGTCACGACAGATTTCACCATCAGACGTCAAACTCACACAATAGACTTGAATGACAGACCTAGGTAAATATACTTGATCCCCCCTCCCAATGATACGCATTCCAGGCGCGCCTAAGGGGAAACAAGAAACGACTTCGCCATCAGATGTCAAACTCACACAATAGACTTCAGTGACAGACCTAGGGAAACATACTCAAACGCGTACTGAAATGCACAGGACTCAGTGGGAAAAACAGGAAACAGCTGGTAACAATCGGGATTTCACACGAGGTTAGTGAGACGGCGTGACACACAGGAGGATCAGACAAGCAGGGCGTGACAAAAATCTTGACCAGAGCATTTATAATTTAGTGAATTTTTTATTTTTTTTTTTGATCTTGTTTAAATACAGGTTCCTGATAAAGCATAAAAGCCTTGATGCAGTACATCATATGCTCAGTTGTGTATTGGTCCGCCTTCCATAAACTTATCATTTGAACAAATTATTTGTACAGTGGTACCTCAGTATACGTCCGCTTTGGAATAAGTACAACTTGGTATACATCCTGTTTGGACACGAAAAAGTTTGCTCGGTATACGACTTTTCTTTGGAATACGCCTCGCATGCTACAATTTGTATGGGTCAATATGAGTCACAACACCGTGCATTACCCTTGTTTACCTCTCTCGAGACAAAGCCACAACTGCACACGACCATCAGTACGCCAGTTGCTACCATTCATTTAACAACCCGTGCTATAATTCTCTTTGCATTCATTTCATGTAATTGCTTTTGTATTTATGCATTTTAGTATTAAGCAGTATTTAAACTATTTTATACAACCCCATAAATGTATAATATGCCAATAACAATAGGATTTTTTTTCATGGGAAAGGATTAATGAAAGTGAATACGAAAGTTCAAACAAGGAGACCTTATGAACGTCGTCATGTCCAATCACAGCGGTCCAAGTTCTATATAAAGAATAAGTCTAACCCACTTCTTTGCCGTTACAGCTATTCGGTTCGCCAACCTCCTCCCCTCCACCACCTTCGGCTCCCCGTCCTGGTCCNTTGTGACGCAGGTTTAGCAACCAAAATTCCTCTTTCAAATAAAATTTCAAAATTACCTCCACGTTCTCCATTTGAACCATTTGTCGCTATATTATACCATTCAGCTATTTGCAGCAACTCATCCATGGTATGTCTCCAAAAACTCCTCTGAAGTGCAACAAACAACTTAACTATCATCTACAAAAGCACTAACTCAACCCTAAGGCTTCATGTGGCTACAAGCGAGAGCTACTGTACTTACGCACCAAGACCCCATGGGATGAAAGAGTGACTGGCAAAGCATCACCATGGATGTGATCCGAGACAACTTCTATTACTCGTTTCTGACACAATACTAGCAACAATATATCAATGTGCTCTAAAAAGAATAATATTTCTATAAACGAAAAAAATGGATGAAAACAGGCAACAGCTACCAAGGAGTGATTCATACAAGAAACACAAACAGAATGGGTGTGCTCCATCCACAAACATGGCAAGGTACCTGTCAGACGCAAAGTATGTGCAAACCAGTGGTGGATGCTGTCTGAAATGTTTGTATTCATGTCTTTATGTGGGCAGTCCATTCATTTCTATGGGGAAAAACCCTAATCCCAGCAATGACAACCTTAGCCCCAACCCAGCCTTAACCTTAACCATACCAAACAAAATATAAGACTTTTGGCAATTTTTGCTTACAGTCGCAGATTTTTTATAAAACTGAGTTTCCCCTTGTGGAGACGGTAAAGGTGGTCCCCACAACGTCAAAATGACAGGATTTTATCACATTGTGTCCCCAAAATGTATTTACGTGTTGTATCCCCAATCATTTCTGTGGGGAAAACTCTAAGCCCAGCATGATGACCTTAACCCCTACCCAGCCCCAACCTTAACCATAAGTAACCAAACAAAATACTTTGGCACCTGAAACATGGTCCCCACAATGTCAAAATAACAGGTTTTTATTACATTGTGGGGAACATTTGGTCCCAACAATGTCATATAAAGATAATCCCCACATTTTGGNATTTTTTTTTTTCTGTGTGCGAATTCCGCCTAGTACGACTTCTGGCCACTACTCGATCCCTCCGTGCAGCAGAGTAGCGTGCGTACTCCCAGCATCCTAGTTCTTTGTACTTGCGTATACCCTTAAAATGATGTCGAATAACGATTTACGAACATTTCAATTTACGAACGGCCATTCGGAACATATCTCATTCGTAAGTAGAGGAGCATCTGTATTTACTAGAGGTGTAACAATACATCGATTTGTATCGATATATCGATTCAACGGCAAACGATCCGATGCATCGATGTGGCCGCATAAATATCGATACGTGCGTTTTTATTTTCTCGCCTGTTCCAGTATTGTTTTCATGATCCACTCCAACATATACATGGTCTACATCGGGGGTGCTCAAGGTAGTGTGGGTAGATCGTATGGCATAAAAATATAGAGGATGGATGACGCGTTCAACCGCGCCAGCTGCTGCAAGCTACCGAGTCCCCTAGTTAGCCTCCAATTTATTTCTACTAAACCTAAGAAAGGGTATACAAATGAATGGGGGAGCTTGACCAAGTATGAAGCCAAAAACCTGCCACTTCCATACGGAATGGGAGGAGGACTGTTTTTGTCCACCATACCATATTCGAAGTGCATTTGCCTCGTCTGTCACTCTACCATGGCTATTCCGAAGAAGGGAAATGTGGAGCGGCATTTTCGCACTGTTCATAAAAACTACGACATTAACTTCCCTCCAAAAAGTGAGCTGAGAAATAGAAAGGTGAAGGAACTAAAATTCCAGTTAAATTCAAAAATACTTCATTCATCCCAAAGGGAAATTAATAAGAATAATAGTAATAATAATAAATAATATTATAGAATGCTCAATATTTTTATACATAAATATATGTTTTGCATTTATATAGTAGGTAGATCATTTTGACTTGATCATTTATAAGTAGCTCGCAAGCTAGCATACCTTCAGAGCGTGTGTTTAGTACAGCACGTGACATTGTGTGCTCTGAGCATTGCGTCCTATCTCCTGAACATGTTGACCATTTAATTGTTCTTTAAAAAAAACTTTTCAAAGAAGAATACTGACATACTTGTTTCACCGCAGAAGTCAGTCATGTTGATCTTCCTCAATCTACATGTCTGTCCATGCAATGTTT